AAAGTGTACAAATTCTAAGACAAGAACAGGAGTTACTGATTCTGGCAGCAGAGCCAGGTTTAGGCAGCTGGCACTGCTCAGATTTCAGCTGAACATTGTGTTCTCCAATGATGCTCCCTGGAAAGCACCATGAGAGTGTGTGGAGAGCTCATCCTTGGCACAAGAGCCACCAGAAACAAGTGCAGGACTCTCAATGTACTAATATAACATTTTTAGATACCACCCTAAATCTGAAGCCCTCACAGATAAAGCCAAACTCTTCTAGAATTCTCTTAAACACTGAGTATTCTCAGCAAAGGAGAATAAAACTTAGTAACAGTTTCCTTCTCTACAACAGGTGAAAAAGACACATTTCCTCAGAAGGTGGAAAATTCAGGATGAGAAAGGAAGCTGAATAATGACATGAGAGCTCTAGCTTGTGTAGATGCATAACTGCTGCTAGTTTATCCAGATGCATAAATGGCAGATGCAGTAACATAAATGCTGCTTCATTACTCTGTCCAAATTAAGAATTTCTTCCAGGACATGACACAAACACTTAGAGGAGGACATTATAAGGGATAGAGATAAAATTAGAGAAGTTATCTTTCCTTTAAATCCAAATCAGACTCTAAAATATCAATTAATTAAAAAATGTCAGGCTAAAGCGTTGAGTTGTTCAAAACTCAAAGATGATTTTGACTAAAATGACTTTTTCTGCCTTGTGATCAACAACTTTGCATTATTTCTCAACTTGCAAATTTTTTTTCTGTAATGACTTTGATTTATAGACAACAAAGCCCTGCTGTTTTATTCATCTGTGTAAGCGTATTTTTCAATAATAAATATCCATATATGATATGCCAGACAAAGCACTTGGACAGCCAGTTAACCCAAAGAAATGGTTTTGGAAAACGGGACCAATAGCTCAGCTGGCAAGGAAACAAAAATCGAAGGTTATTATTTGTGACACTAATATATGGCAATGCACATACTACAAGTTTATAAATATTCCTTAAAACCAAACAGTAATATTTGATCTTCACAGCATTACCCAGCTACAGAAACATCAAGTGCAAGTACCACTTTAACCAAGTCCTAAACATTTCCTGTAAACCTACTCTGATTTCCTGATCTATTCAAATTACAACTACAGATTGAAACATAAAAGGATATTTATACCTTTTTATTCTTATAGGGCTCTTAAACTGCTGAAATCTCAATCTCTCTGACTTTTCAAGGTGAACACCTGGTAAGAGCAGCATTACAAAGCAGGTAATACAGTTGAATATTATAAATATGCAGAAGTTTGATGTTGCCTTTCCCAGTCAGTCACTTCAGTAGGTGTGGAAAGTACACAAATTATTGCTCATCAAGTTCATTCAAGTGGGTTTTTTAAAATGTAAAAACACTGTCCTAACATGAACATGTCTTTCTGATAAATTATATTGTGTTTTTAAAAAATAATTTTTGGACTCCAGACTCCTGAGAAAACTAACTAAAGTGCAGAAATTAATTAAAAAATAAACCTATGACTAATGTGTTTTAATTTGCTATGCAGGAATCATCTTCACTAGAAAAAGTTTCACATGCTTTTGTAAAGTTTGAAAGCAACAAAACAACATCAGCTCATAATGAATCTTATGAAAATGGTAAATATACTTCCTTTACTATGTGGAAAACACAATTTGAAGCTTGTGTCTAAGGAAATGCCATTAATTGGTCTTTGATGCTGGACTCCCACTTCTTTCATTTAAAAAAATATCTTTCCCAATATGAGACACAATTTGATTAACTGTGAGTGACCCTGAGTTTGAAACCATTGTAGCTACAGCCCATCACTTACCACTGAAGAATGTCCTGGAAGGAGGCTGCTTCCACAGGACTCCAGCTCTAACACACAGGTTCCTCTGCACCAGCAGGTTACAGCTGCACAGCAAGCTGAAATACAACAAACAAGAAGTGGCTGCTGAAGTACAAATGTTTAATAATGCAAATTTCAGTAGTTCACCATAGTGACCATCTAACGTTTAGCAGCTGAGTAACAGAGGGAAAAGTCTACTCAAGTTATCATAAAATTTCCACTGAGCCTAGTCCCCTGTGGTCTACTCCTTTCCTAAAGAAAAATTTTAAAAATCCAACATCTAACTGCTCCTGCAGGTATTTATTTAAAGTGCATCTTCATATTTTCTTTTTCTTAACAAATATTGACATGTTCCTTTTGGGCTGCTGTAACAGTGATACTTTTCTGAGTATTGTAGATGCTGATCTTGCCAATAGTCCTTTATTTATGTTATCAGCATGTACTGTATCTTTGCCTGTCTGGAGCTCTAAAATGCAAATGGAGTGGTAAATTTTATAATTATTGTTAAGTACTTGGGATTATTCCATTTCCACTGGGCTGCTACAACTGTGTCATTTAAGAACCTCCTACAACAGCAACTGTCTAGAGAGACACTCAGGATTTGGTTCATGTTTTACCTTACCATCCTCGTGGGAAGGAGGAAGGGTGCATGGGGGAGTTTTGGATTCTATGAAGAAGCAATGGCATTTATTAGACCAAGTTGTGTAGCTGAAAAAGTAAAAAGGCTGCCAGGCACAGCAGCTCTTCTTTAGAATTTACCTTATCACTCTGTTCACTGGTGAACTGCAGTGACAGTGGTTCTGCCCCTCTGAAAATCCCTAGAATAGACTTGGAACTGGCCAATATAGAGAAAGGGTTCACCCAGGGCTTTTTGTGTGTTTAATAATATTTAATTTCATGTTGATAATAAATCTGACAAGAAAGGCATCCAGTTGTACAAGAACTGTTCCAAGTCTGTAAATAAGCAAGTTTAAACAAGTATTTGACTGTGGCCTGGCAACATCCTGCTGTCAGACAGGATCACAGGGAGGAGAGGGACAGAGCTCCCACCCCAACAGGCTCAGACCCTTAGGGAGAACCAGATCTTTGTGCAACCTGCTCACTCTCAGGAGGCACTGCCACAGCTGGGATGTCTTCATCTGCCCTCTGGCCTTTCATCTGCTCTCGATCAGATACACGGAGGACACAATTACTTCAGTAGCTTACAAGCTATTGCATCATTTGGGGCCATTCAACTTCAGGAAGTGATTATTAAGAGTTTAAAGACTTAATTTCAGGTGCCTACTGAGTTACATATAGGCATGATCCCTTTATTTCAAAGAAGAATCTACAGATTTCTTACCTAGAAGTCACACCATTATGTCAGCACACTTGGTGACTATGCTTTAATATCAGCCAATGACCAACAGCTAAAGTTTTCTCTTATCCCTATTGCAACAGTGGCAGAATATCTCACTGTGCCCTTCAGCTCCATGGTCTCTGTTAAAATCCCTGCATTAACCCAAATGTGACAGGAGAGACTCTCCCTCCCCAAGCCCCACATTCCTGTACCCACATGCTAAACGTGCCCCACTGCTGCATCATCTCCCAGGATGTTATTTTCACAACAAGACAGAAAAAATGCTGAACATACAGAACCTGTATGTTCTACAGAGCAACACGTTGGGATTTGTCATGAACAACGAGGTCACCTGATGCTTTTGGGTCATACCAGGCCTGCACTAATTTGTGCACTTACAAGGCCTGTTTTACAACATATTAAAACACTTGGGATAAAAGGAGCACTTGCTCATCAGTAAGCTGGGAGCCTCTGGGCTACTTCTAAGGGAGTCAAGAAATAAAGAACTAATCGAATTAGCAATAGACTTAAATTTAGCAGAAGAGTTTTCAAATCCTAAAAAAGTAATGGAAAACATTGTTAAAACTTAACTGCAGCCTAAAGCATTAGTATTTGAGACATTTATTAGCTTTCCTACATATTAGTGTATAAAAAAATGCAGTCAGAACAGAACGAGTTGTGTTGGCTCCACAGGAGCATCCAGGAGCTGCTCCCACTGCTGAGGCAGGGCAGGGCAGACAGTGAAGGACACAACACCTAACCCTAAGCTCTTCCCAAAATTGCTTTTGGTGTCCAACACTGGAAAATCAGTTTCCATCTTACTCTGAAACCTGCCTAAAACCAGGCAAAGACAACAAAACTAAAAACAGTCTCACCTTCCCTGCTCCTGACAGCCTGACGTGGGTGGGTACAAATGCAAGTTGGAGTACTGACCCCCTCCCTCTCCCGCCTGACTGGAGGTGATGGAGAAGGAACTGCCAAGAAATTCCCTTTTAGCTGCAGCCCCTCTGTGTCTTCAGCCATCTCTGGACTAGGGACAATACTGGGGCCGGAGGTAACAGAACAGAACACTGTGCACAAGGTGTTTGCTCCAGGTTTTGAGAGAGAAGGGGGAATAAGGGGACTGTGTGCTCTATCCAAGAACAGGGAACAGTGGCCGAGAAGCAGCATTCCTTAAGCTGTTTGGTTGCTATGAAAAGCACAAGCCGTAAGAGGATATCTCCTCTAGAGGAGTCTCGGTGCCCGGCCAGGTGCCCCTGCTCCCAGCCATGCCCCGGATCGCATAACCCGAGGGGCTGCAGCTGCTCCCCATCCACCGACCGCTGCTCAGCACTTCCACTCTGACAGCTACGGACTGCAAACCCAGTCAGAACTGCACAGGGCCACACGCTTCTCGTTCTTAAAATACCTGAACTGCTTATCTTCCTTACCAGCTTGGAGAAGGAGGGCAAGGCTCCCTACCCATGCCAAGGGCAGGGCCAAGGCTGCAGAGACAACCGCACTCACCCCGCTAGGGAAACGTCAGTGAACGAGGGGGGCGAGAAAGGGGCGGCTGCGGCCCCCGGCCCGGCTCCTCCTCCCCCGCGGGGTGCCGGCTGTCAGACAGGGCTGCCGGGGCCAGACAGAGACAGTGACAGTGACAGTGACAGTGACAATGACAGCCCCAGCCCCGCCGTGTCCGTACCTGCTCCGCGCCGCGGCCGCCGCCATCTTCCCACGCCGCCGCCGCCGCCGCGTCCTCTGCCGCGTCCCGCGCGGGAGGGCGGGAACAGCGCGGGGGGCGGGGCCGCGACCGTGAGGGGGCGGGCGTTGCCGGCATGGCGTGTGTGAGGGGGTTATTCCTGAGGGAGCACACCTTGTAGGGAGGGGTTCGTTTCTGAGGGGAGACCCGGAATGGGAATACGGCTGCGAGGCTGTTCTTCAAAGGGGGGGTTGATCTGTGAGCAGGGCTGCTCTTTTAGCGCGGGGGAAAAGGGCCGTCGCTGAGGCGATGGGGAGTGGGGATAGGGCGGGCCCTGAGGGAACGGGGCCAGGGGCGGGGCCGCGACCGTGAGGGGGCGGGCGTTGCCGGCATGGCGTGTGTGAGGGGGTTATTCCTGAGGGAACGTGTCGTGTAGGGAGGGCTTAATTTCTGAGGGGAGACCCAGAATGGGAATACGGCTGTGAGGCTGTTCTTCAAAAGGGGGTTGATCTGTGAGCAGGGCTGTTCTCTTGGCGCGGGGGAAAAGGGCCGTCGCTGAGGCGATGGGGAGTGGGGATAGGGCGGGCCCTGAGGGGACGGGGCCAGGGGCGGGGCCGCGACCGTGAGGGGGCGGGCGTTCCCGGCATGGCGTGTGTGAGGGGGTTATTCCTGAGGGAACGTGTCGTGTAGGGAGGGGTTCATTTCTGAGGGGAGACCCAGAATGGGAATACGGCTGTGAGGCTGTTCTTCAAAAGGGGGTTGATCTGTGAGCAGGGCTGTTCTCTTGGCGCGGGGGAAAAGGGCCGTCGCTGAGGCCATGTGGGGTGGGGATAGGGCCGGCCCTGAGGGAACGGGATGTGGGGACATTTTCCCGGGGATGTAGAGTGAAGATGTGAGCTTTAAGGTCTCCTGAGGGTGTGTGCTATGTGGTTGGAGGTGCCTCATGAAGGGGCTGTGGCCAGAGGGAGGAGGGCGCTGCTGCTGAGAGTTCAGGATGAGGCAGGTGGGGTTCAGCTGCTTTTCAGCGCTGCTATTGACACACAGGTAAGGTATTTGCCTCAGGTGTGGGATCACCAGGAATATTAAGGCAGGGATTTTAGGGAGAGGACACAGGGCAGACACGATGCAGTTCCTCCAAGTGAGGTGTCTGGTGGAGTAGTGCAGTAACATCTATTTATTCCTCCTCTGGTGTCCTTTGCCTGGGTGTTGCCTGGCTGCTTGCTGCCCAGGGTGAATTTTATAGAGGTTATTTGGTTTTCCACTCTCTTAGATGCATCCCTAGATGAGTAAATGCTACACTGCTGGGAAGTAGCTAATTACCTGTCTGACAGTGACAGAGGGGTAGTTTCATATGGTGAATCAGTAGGAAAAGAATTCAAGAGTCCTGGCTGTGTTTCCACATCCTTAGTGTTTTAGGACATGGTCCTCAGGCAAGCTGATTAATTCAATTTTAATTCCTGATTTACCTTTGTATTTTTTCCTGACCAGGCCTAAATGAAGTCTGTAACACCTTCATGTGATTCTGCCTTTTTTTTCACATCACTATAGGTAGTAATATCTGTATAAGTATCTTAAACATGTACAGGAAAGTCTTTCATTGCTAAATATGTGAAATTTGAGGGGAAATCCAGACACAAACCTCATTAAACAGTAATAATATTACCGGACTCAATTGTTGGTATTTACATGTCCCGTACATAATGGTAGGATTGGCACAAAGTAAAACCTCAAAGAAGGTGGGATTTGGTGTTGTTAGGTGCTTTGGTACAGGCCTTGCAAGAACCATTAGCTTTGAAGTGTAAGAGCACCCCACTGCTGGGCCTGACAGACAAGTTTCCCAGAATTGACTGGGAAGTGATTCAGAGGTTAAGGTGCAGTTAAATGTAATACACTTGTTTATAGTGTAAAATAATTGTCACAAGGCTAAACTGATTAATAATCTGTCCTGATCTAATCTTTCTCCTGGGAATTAAAAGTAAATATGTGGACATGTAACTAATTTAAAATTACTTTTATCATATGTCTTTTTATTACATTTATGGGGTTTTTTAACATCTGGTGAGATTGTATAGACTGCACCCACTGAGGGATAAAACTTCCCTAAGGGTACTGAGCTGTGCTAGGCCTGTGCACCTGAGCCAAGTCAAAGAGGGGATTAATACCACAGCTCCTCCAACAAATGAGAGACTGGAGACCTTGGGGCTTGAGAATGTTTGTTCAGGTGATGCCTTAAGTTTTAGCTTTCATATTTTCCAGATTCTGTACTGCCTCAGTGTAACTCTGAACTTCATAAAAAGTGTTAGCAAGTTCTCTTCACAGTTTAATCAGACAAAACAATCCTAGTTCAGCCTGAGAACCAAGGACACCGTTGCAGCTTCAGGCCCATAAATTGTAAAGAATGGAGAATTGAGGAAAGCAGTCTGGGAGGATGAGACTTCATAGCCTGAAGCTGTAATTGGACAGTTAACCCCAAATGTAAATGGACCAGTGTTGGAGATTTTTTCAGAAATGGCTTAGAAGGCAGCTGTGAGGAGTAAAATTCTCACAGGCGGTTTCTGTAAACAGCAGAAGTTCTCAGGTTGTTTTTAATTACAAGTAAAAGTGACAGACATGAAGGCCTTGAGAACCTTGCATACCAGAGTTCTCAGGCAGCTCTCTCATAACAAGTAGATATTCTATCTTTGGCTGCTTTGGGAAAGCAAAAATAATTTTGAGAACCCAAATCTTGGTATTGGAAACATAAGGAGGAGTTGGTGTGTTATCTCTGACCTATTGTGAGCTCGGGTTTGCAATATGCATGAACTTAATTAACACGGTTATAAAAAGTGATTGATTGAGTGAATAAACTGAGTCAGGTGCTGAACAACAAAGTTGGGTCCTCTCCCTCCATCTTCAGACCAGGACTTATAAATGTGTAAACTCATGACTGCTTGTCCATCTTGTGTCCATCTTGGGTGTAGCCTCGGCTGGGCTCTTGCACTGCCCAGGGTGTATCCTTTGAAGGCCTTTAATAAATACCTACTTCATCCCTTTAACTCTGTCTAACCTCTGTTCCAGGCAGTGCAGGAAGAAATGAGGAATGCCTCAGGCTGGATGGGGCTTGGAACAACCTGATTTAGTGGAAGGTGTCCCTGCCCTTGGCAGGGGGTGGAACAGGGTGAGCTTTAAGGTCCCTTCCAACCCAAACCATCCTGTGGTTCTGTGTAACTCCTTCTGTGGTCAGACTGGTGGGGAACAACACCTCAGCAAATGTTGCAGATCTGGAGAGGGAACTTGTGAAACTCAAGGGATGTGCAATCGTGAGTGGGGAATGATGCCTGAATCACTAGGGAAGGGTACATGAGGCAACAGAAGAAATCTGGGAAATGTATCTGCAAAAATACATCAAGTAAGCAAAGCACCAGGGAGATCTGTAAGGTGAAGAAGGAAAAGAAAGTAGGATAAAGACTCTATTTCTCCAGAACTCTTGGAACAGTTAATTCTTTCCTGAACAGAAAAGATTAAACCATATTCACAATATTTTATACATCATCAGGCACTTCTGTTTATATATAATACATTAATGTATTTTGTCTCTCATATATAATATATGAATAAATGTGTTTTTTTTCTTCTATAGAATTAATGATGTTAATAGCTGCTGTAGAGTAATTAAGAGGTAATAATAATTCAGGTTAAGCATTAGAAAATAGGAGAATGAAGCAGTTTGGATGAGATTACTGGGCTGGGATGGAATGAAGAGAATCAAGACAGTCAACAGTGTCCCAGTTCTGTTCTGAATTCTTAGGGAGGCACAGGATTACTTTTTGTTTAAATAACTCAGGAGATAAGCCATTATCAGGTGAAAAAAATAATGTAAGAGGGGACCCTTCAGTATTCTGTAGAGAGATATGGTCAGTAGTTTGGATAATTCACTTAGATTTTGGTATCTTTTTTGTAAGTTAGGTGTAAATCTTGCCCATCTCCCAAAGGCTTTGGGTGCCTTTGGAAACAGCAGTTCTATTTCTTTTTAGAGCAGAGGCTTACATTTCTTTCCGTGTCTGATAAAAATAGAGTAGAAAATGCAGGGATATTTTCCATCTGTGGGTAGGAAAGGGACCCTCTCCCTTTCTCCTTTGCTACAAGGATATACCATCCTCTGACAGTTTGTTTTTTAAAATCTTGGTTGATCCTCGTTGATATCTAAACCCCCCTTGTTATCTTGCAGAAGCTTTGGTAATCACTGTGGAATTCCTGGTATGAGAAGGCAGAGCTCAGGGCAGAGAGAAGATCCTTGCTGAACAGCTGTAATGATGAAGGCACTGATTTTAATTGTCCTAATCACCTCTTTGCTGGCTTCAGGTAAGGCTGATGCAGAGAGGGGGAGAGAAGGGTTGCCTCTGGGTGGGTGATGTTCAAACTAATAAATGCTTTGCTTTTGTTTTCCTCTGTGCAAAGAAAGAAGTTGCAGTTAAAGCTGTGCCTGTATTTTTTCTGTTTGATTATTGGCAGATGGTGACCTTTTAGTTTTGAAGCAGCTTGATGCAGAACTTAGTAATTCAGTGAGGCTTTGTTTCCTTTGAATAGTTGTGTTTCCTTTGAATTAATGGTGTCAGAATGAAGCAGGGGACCTCCAGCTGCTCCCCTCTAAAACCACTGCTGGTTCTTCTTGGAATTGTGCTGAACTAACACCAAAACAAGTGGAGGACTAATGTCTGATGCTATGCTCACAGAAATAAAAACTTCAATGATTTATTTGTACACATTGCTAGTAGTAATAGTTCTCCAGAGAGTCAAATGCTTAAACATCTGGAAATGACAATGTTAGAGATATTGTGGCATTTTCTGTGTGTTCAGTCCTGGTTTTCATTACATGGCTTAAGATTCTCTCAAGTTACATAACTGCATGCTATTTTTGTGTACAACAGTCCCATTTTTTCTTCCTTAAATGTCTAGTATCTTCTTGGAGATGTATATGATGATATATTTCAGAGGAATAATACAAGATGGAGTAATTTCCTAAAGCAAAAGAGGTAATTCTGTTGGCATGTCTGGATTCCTTTAAGATGTAGCTTTATAGTTGGTTTAAACCCACCAAGCCTCCGAGTCCTTCTGAAAAAGGAAGTTTCATCTCCACCTTTAATTGCATCTTTTTGGTGTGTGAAAGCACCAGAGGAAACAGCAGAGCAAAGGCTAAAAGCATGGCCTGTATTGATAACCAAAGGCAGCAGTAAAACTGATAAACCCCAGAGAATGCATGCTTACATCAAGGTTAGCAGGTCTGTGCTCTGACAGAGTCACATCCCAGCTGACTTTTAGGAGAAAATCTGCACTCTGGTGACAGGAAGATGTTACCCTGCAGTGTAAGTGCCATTCCTTCTCTTGCTATGCCAACAGGAAAACAGTCATAGCCATAAACACATCCTCACCTTTGGTTCTTCCAAAGTTTGGGTGGCAGCCTTAAAATTTGCTGAGGTTGAAGCAAGGAAGATTTTGTGGCTTAAGTTCTTGCCATAATAATTGCTGATTCTTCAAAAATCTGCCTAAAACTGTTTAGTTGCTTTCAGTCAAAAGGAAGCAAAGAGACATATTAAAGATTCAGCATCAAATCATCAAAGTCCTCATGTTGGGAAAAAGTGACCTTGGTCACACATGGGCACATCTCCTGGGTGCCTCTAAGTGTGTGAGTGTGAGTGAGCACATCCAAGCTTTTGGGAACTTAAGTAAAATAGAATAACCTCTCTCTTCCATAAGGTGTTAAACTGAGGGTTTTTCATGAAATCCTACAAATCTTGACTTCTTTTTTGATGCTACAGGGAAGAAATTTCGATGGTGCACCCTGTCTGACCTGGAACAAAGAAAGTGTGCTGAGCTCTCCAAAGTGCTTACAGCTGTGCTGCCCCTCACTCCTGCCAGTTCCTTTACCAGGATTTCTTGCATCAGAGCCCACAATACATATGACTGCATTGATAAAATCAGGGTGAGTTCACAGAGACTTTAAAAACTGACTTTGTGTCCAAATCCTCTTGGAAAAGTAACTGGTAAACAGAAACTATGGGAAAATAAAATGATACTGAAACAATTGAACTGCTTAAATGACAAAGTACACAGCATACTGCTCACAGGATGTACTGTTTTACCCCAGCTAATGTCTTTGCAATCTCCAAGAAATAGTGAAAGCTGCTTGGAAATAAATAGGCAAAAGAAAACTACTAAATTAAAATTTATTGAAGAAGAAACTGTGGTCTTGAACCTTCTGTTTGTTTCCTTGTAATCACACTTGTTTTGAGGGTTTTTCTGTTGTTTTAAAGGCAAATAAAGCAGATGCTGCCTCCTTGGATGCTGGAGATGTTTACTCTGCTGTAAAGCTGTACGGTTTGGCAGTGGTGGCAAAAGAGATCTATGATCAAGGTAGGCTGGGAAAGCCGAAGAATAAACTGTACTTCTGATTTGGTAATAAATGGCTCTAGATTTCTTGAAAAAAAAAAGTCAATATGTTTTTTATTAACTTCGTAGGAATATGGAGGTGGCTGACAATTGTTTCTAAAATATTTAATGATGATGAATAAAATACCAGTGGGGCTTTGTACCCTGTAGCCTTTCTGCCTGTGGTGCTGACAAACTTGCATTGCTTGTTTGACAAGTGCCATGTAGCCAGTATATGGTGAAGTTCTGCTACAAGTACCTACATGGACTAGGCCTAAGATAATTTCTTCTTTAGCCATGTTCACTGGAGTAGTTCAGCTCCTCTTCAGAGATGGAAGCTGCAGAATTGAGACTTTTTTTACACATTTTGTGCTATTGCAGGAAATTGTGTGTTTGCTGTGGCCGTGGCCAAACGAGGAGCTCTGGATGTCCGGAGGCTGCGAGGTGTGCGCAGCTGCCACAATGGAGCCAAGTGGACGTCGGGCTGGAATATTCCCCTTGGCTTTCTCCTGGCAAGAAATTCTCTTTCCTGGGATGAGTCCCAGCCTCTGAGCCAAGGTAGGTGATAGGAGCCATAGGGCTACCTCTGGCCACAGTGAATGTAACTGAAATGCCAGCAGATGGAGGATGAACTAGTTATGGCCATGGTATGTTTGGCCCTTTTTCTTCTTCTGATTTTATTCCCATTTGACGTTTTTCTTTCGTTTTGTTTTGTTTTGTTTTGTTTTTTTTTCCTTACACCTGCAGCAGTTAGTGAGTATTTCAATGCAAGCTGCATCCCTGGGGTTGGTGTTGCTGCTCCCCAGTTGTGTGCTCTCTGCCAAGGACAAAAATCCTATGTCAGAGACAGGAACCACTTCTGTGAGACAAGCAGTAATGAACCCTTCTATGACTCTGAGGGAGCCTTCAGGTGAGCTCTGGGACACTGGGCCTGAATTCACTTTTGGGGGAAAAAAAACTTATAGGGTAAGGAAAGCCAGGTGAAATGTTAATAGGATGGCATTTGTCTTCCTGCAGGTGCTTGAAGGATGGAGTGGCAGATGTTGCCTTTTTAGATCATCTAAGAATTATGAGTGCCACAGGTAATTTTAAAAATGCAGTTTTCTTTTCATCCCTGTCTGTGCTCTTTCCTGTGTAGATGTTTGAGGGATTTGCTTGTATTTTTGTTGTTTCCAGGGAAAATTCAATCCCTGCAAGCAGTTCAGGGGTATTTCTTGGCTCTCCATGCAACTCAGAAAGAAACAGAACAGGAAAGTGTGAGTGAGCAATGATTGCTCACAGAAGATTTCATTAGCTGTCAGTATTTGCTTTGCCTGAGTTACAAGATTCCTTTTAAAAATCAGCATATTGAGCTGCATAACTGTGAAGTTCCTGTACACCTGCCTTGTACTTTTAAACTCAGTTGAGCTCTGTACCAAAGGTGGTTAGCAGCAGTATTTGCAGGTATTTTTAAATAAATGTATTTAGAGTGGTACAGCTTAAAGAGTATTTTGGAGCAGTTCTGGCTGAGGTCTCTCTGTTTGTTATAAGAAGTATTTACCAAAGACAACTTTCCCAAGTGTGCTTGGTACACCATGCTGCCTGCATAACCTTTAGCAACCTGCACTGAAAAACATGTTATATTCCATCTCTGTGCCTGCTGGCAAGTCATGGCTCTGGTCAGAAATTCATGAGTGTCTCCTTGTTTCAGAGTCAGAAAAAGAGGAATATGAACTCCTGTGTGCTGATGGATCCACAGCTGAGCTGACTGAATACAGCACCTGTAACCTGGGCAAGGGGCCTGGCCGTGGCATCATCACCCGCAGCAACTTCCAGAAAATCACCAACAAATTTCTGAGCATGATCCAAGTGAGTGAATGTTATAAACTGTCTGTGTTCAGACACAGTTTATGCTTCCATCTTTGTGTGGCAGTCATGATCCAGGTTGCCTTTTTTCTTGAGAAATACATAGTTACTGTGAGTAAAGAGCTAAAAATTGTTTGTTCGGGGGAAGGATCTTGCATTGGCTTGTGTAAGGTTTTGTTTTTTTCTAAAGAGTTCTTCTGTAGGAGGCTGAGAATAAATCAGTAAAGAAGGGGAAGATGCTATAACACACAAACTGCAAAATGGCTAATGATGTTCATCCTGCCATGGAACTTGAATCAATTTTTATGTAGCTGAGGGAAACTCATAGGTTCAGGCAGGGCTCACTTTTCTTCATGTCTTTTTCTCAATTTATAAATAGTATTTGATATCTTGACCAGTGAAACAAAGGGAGGGAAGGCTGAGGCTGCCTGTTGCTGGAAGAATGAGCAGATTTGTTGCCATTTAAAAGTGTTGTTCTTGTCCTAGCGCCTCTTTGGGCAGAAAGGAAAGGAAAGAGCCAGATTTGAGCTCTTCAGTTCAGCACCCTTTGGGGGAAAGAACCTGCTCTTCCGAGATGCCACTCAGCACCTGCAGCTTCTCGAGGAGCAGCTGGAGATTGCCTATGTCCTTGGTCTGGATTATGTGGCTCTCCTTAAGGGACTTGGCCATGAAGGTGAGAACTGTAGCTAAGGAAAGGGAAGAGAAAGTTCTCCTTCCACATTATTTTTCCCTCCAGGCACAAATGCACTTACCTGAAAATCCCCTGAACACGTCACAGATTGGTGCACTGGTGATGTGATCTGCTCCCATTTCAGGGAGCTCCTTGGAGAACAGCGTCGTGCGCTGGTGCTGCATCAGCGATGCTGAGCTTCACAAATGTGAGGAGTGGGCACTGAACATCCAATCCGACCCCTTGGTCTGTGTCCAGGCAACTTCCATGACCAAATGCATTGAAATGATCAAGGTAGGAAACTCCTTCTGCTCAGGGTGTAAGACTGCACAGGCTATGTATGTCTTATCTGAACTAAAGAGAGGAAAACCAGCTTGAGGAATAAGTGGGAATGAGAGGGAATTTATGCAGGGGAATTTTCAGCCAGTGGAGAAATCCTGCTGCTTGGACACATAATTCATGCAAATCCTGTTTTTGTTATTTTCTCTAATGCTGTTGGCAGAGTAGTGAGGCTGATGCTGTCACCCTGGATGCAACACATGTGTACATTGCAGGGAGATGTGGACTGGTGCCTGTAGCTGCAGAATGCTATGGTGAGTTCTCAAGTGACCTTATCAAGGAGAGAGGGAATCAAAAAAGTACTGTTAAGAATATAGTTTAATTTCCACAGTTTGTGATGTTTTGTGATGGAAGCAGGAGTCAGTATAAATGTCCACATACTCTTCTCAGCTCTTCCACTAACTGGCTCTAGCATTTGGTCTGTTTATTTTATCCCTTCTGTTAAAGGGACAAAGATGCTGACATGACTGAAGAGGATCACAAGGGGTTTTGAAGGAATGCTGCCATGTAAAAGGAGTGACAGCAGTTGCAAGATCCTTAATGTTTATCTCTCCTTCCAGGGGGAGATTGTGGCCCAGCAGCTGAGACCATGGAGAAAACAGGGAAATTAATTCCTCTGAAGCACAAAGGTAACAGAAACTTGCCAGGGTTTATGCAGGAGCTTATTTTTGTGTTGGTTTAGAATAGGATTTTCTGTGCAAGGACAAGAACTGTGTGGCTAAACAAAGAGCAGGTCCTGTACTGTAACTGAAGATGCTGTGAGAAGATGAGGGAGGGAAGGGGGGCTGTACCCTTGTGGAACACTTAATTGCCTTGGTAACTGGTTGTTGTCATTGTTTCACAGCACTACCGCCAGTTTATGCTGTTGCCCTAGCTAAGAAAAGTGCCAAACAGATTCACATCCATAACCTCAGGGGAAGGAGATCCTGCCACAGTCACCTGTACAGTCCTGCAGGGTGGTTACTTCTGTCCAGACACACAGTGCGAGCTCAGCAGAATGACACTGAGAACTGTGATGTTGCCTCTGGTAAGGGCTCTGGCTTCTCTCTTAACTAGACCATGAAAATCTGAGGCTTAAATTTGTGAGTAAAATAGAAACAGGGCCATGAGGATCCAACCAGCAAGTGATGACTACAGGTTCAGAGGGTGTTAAAGCAGCTTTTCCTCATGTTTTACATGTGTCACTATTTAGCCCTCTTCTTGCTAGTTGTTAGGATGAAATTTCTTTCCTGTCTTTTCCCATATGTGAAGAGGCTTGGGAACACCTTGCCTTAATCTCATCTCAGTTTTCTTTACTCAGCTTATCAGAATTACTTTTGGAAGGGCTGCATGCCAGGAGCAGATGGAAACCTGTGCAAGGTGTGCATTGGAGATGGGGAGGTGGAAGGAGCTCGAGTGTCCAGCAGATGTGCTGCGAGCCACAACGAACGTTACTATGGCAACATGGGAGCACTCAGGTGAGAGTCAGAAATGCAGAGCAACAGCCATAATTCCTTATTATTTTGCTGATTTTAGAAGATTTTTTCCCTATTTGTTAAGCATCTGTCTGTATAAACTTTGCTAGTGTTTTGTTTTGGTTGCAGTTGCTATGGGATGTTCAGCTGACTGATGGTTTAAAATGATGATTAAACTATTTCCAGAGCAAGGCAATGCTTCAAACATGTACAGCTTAGAGCATTGGTACTGACTCATTAAAGGGAAGGGATGAAAGAGGACCAGAGAGCAGAGGTGCTGTGGTAAGAGGCAGTGTAGCATATAGGAGATAATTAAATAGAGTGGAGATTAAAAAAAAATAGTTGAAGACAGAGGCAGAGAAGACTGTTCAAGGTGAAACTTTTATGAAAGTTTAAGGAAGCACTCCTATGAAATATACATTAGGTATTTAGTTGAATTCCATTCTCTTTCCTGCCTAGGCATGGGTGAAGGTGCACATTGTGCAGCAGCTTTGACTTGGAAGCTGCTGTAAGGAATGAAAAGGATTGTCTTAGCAAATCTCTATGCTGAGATCACTGACATATTGCAAGGGATTAGAGATGGGAGAGATACTTCCAGCTACTCCAATTTTAGTTGTCCAAAAGTCAGTCACCATGTAGTGCTGTCTTTGATCCCTTTTTTTTTTCTTGCACTAGGTGCCTAGTTGGCAATCCCAGTGGAAGAAGCTTTGGAGATGTAGCTTTCCTGGAACACTCAAACCTGCTCCAGAACATAGAGGGTGAGATGCAGATATTCTCTTTTCCTTTGAGAATGTTCATTAATGTCAGTTGCTTCCCACAAAGCAACCAACACTCGTGAGGATCAGCCTGTACAGGTTTAATCTAGGTCCATGAAGTTGTGTTTGTAAATGGAAGATTGCTAGAAGCTTTCTGCATGTAGGTGTTCCAGTAAAGCTCAACATTCAGATACTGTAAGAGAGGAAAGAAGAATCACCCAGTGCAAAGATGTGTGTTGGGATAATCATCCTTGGAGACTGCACTAAATTTCTGGAAGCTTTAAATTTCACAGCTTTAAAAGGCAAACCAAAATATGTTTTTCTTAGCATCAAGGAGAAAAGGAACTCTCATTAAAGCGAAATAAAATTATATTTTAGGCAATTTCAGTAAGAGAAGAGGCTTTTCTAAGAGAGGAATCTCTCTAAAATCAACTGAAGGTGTAAGGGGCTGGAAACCCACAGGAATTCCTGCAGCAATTAGCAGTTTGTTTGGGGGAGCAAAGGGCATGTAGGCTGAATCCCTTTGTTTCCAGAAAGAGATGTGGTTACAGGTGCAGGTGAGACATGATGTGCTGTTCATATGCCTGGGTATGATTCTGTTTTAGTTGATAGGTGCAGCTTAAGTTCACTGCCCTCAGTGGAGACACTGCCCTGGTCCTTATGCATTCCTAGGAAATGACCACATAGCACACTGTGTTTGTTTTGAACACATTGACTAAACTTCTCCCTCCCAAGTTTTAACATTTTCTTTGAGATTCACCCTCTCTTCTGCTTTAATTTTTCAAAAGGGTTACCTTTCACTTCATTTTCTTTTCAGATCTGGGCAGCTCTGGCTGGGCTAGAGGTTATTCCCCCCTTGACTTTGAGCTCCTGTGCGCGGACGGAACGCGCGCGGCTGTCACAGAATGGGCCGGCTGTAACCTGGGCCCGGTGCCCCCCAGCGCTGTCATGACCCGCCCAGTCACTGTCACCAAAATCTCTGACTTCCTGCTGAAATCTCAGGTGGGACAGGTAACGGGGAACAGCTTGGCATGTTAACATTTGTTATGTTCAACTGCTGAAAACCCTTTCCAGATGGAAAGCTTTATATACTAGTGCCTTCAGATCCAATACAAAAGAATTAAAAATGTGCCTAGGAGATTG